AAAAAAAAAGAACAAGAATAAGGGTGGGAGGAAAGAAATGATGTTAGCGTCGCCGACGTGGCTGGAATTCCGCGAATACTCTCGTCATCGTCTTCGTCGCCGTCATTTATCCTGGTCTTTGTCTTCCCAAAAATCACAAGGATACGAGTTCGAGGATTTATCACAGATCGCTGGCGCTGACGCGCGTTTCAAACGTTGCCCGATCGAAAGATTATCAATCTTTCTATTTTTATCTATCATTCTCTTTCTTTCGGGATTTTAAAAAAAGAACGTCCTTTTTTACAATCGTTAATCGATTTAATATGATTTCGTGATCGTTGATTTTGGAATAAAAGTTATAACAAAACGCAGGTCAGTCGGCGATCGTCCATGAGCCACTCGTTCCATAACGAAGTTTGGAAAAGGCAAGAAACGTTAGACTCGGAACGAGTTAATTAGGACGCGGCGAATATTTAGGGACGAACGTAAGAAGAAAAAAAAAATGGGGTAGAAGAATTGACTTAGACGAGAAGAAGGAACGAGGAGACAATACCCGTTTACAAGTAAAAACCGTCGCCTGTAGGATCATCGATCCAAGGATAATTGTTAGGGCAACGTACGCAAGTTTGAAGGTTTATTGTTTCCCCGGGAATGTCTTTTGCGGTCAATTTACAAGTGTGAGGAACCCAACAAGCTGGTGGCCCATCAACGACGCACTTCTCTTTCCATGACTCGAAATTTTTCGATTCTGATATAGTACGGGGATTCTGGATCCATTGGATTACTTGGGTCATTGTTACAAAGTAAACGTCTTTTTGGTTTTCCAATATGTCATCGATCCAATAAAGAAAAGCATCGAGGAATTCAGGATTGTTCTTTAACCAGGCGGCATGGAAATAGAGACCGAGAGGTGCGCGATTTTGTTGATAGTGACGATTGAAATTGTGATTAAGAAAGTCTAAAAATTGATCTCCGGTCAAGATGTTGCTGCAAGAGTCGACCATAGCACAACCAGGGAGATATTCATCGTTCTGGGGATCTTCACGACGATCCAATTCGTTCATCACCATTTCCCAGACAGCATGCGATCTGAATTCAAATTTATTCATTATATTGTATTTTGGATTATTTTATTATTGTTTTAAATTATTTTGTTTTTTTTAAGATAAAAAAACTCACCTCGTTGGACAATGCTGAAGATTTCCATGGCAACGATGAGGCATCCTGAAGTACATAGTGTAAGGCCAAAGTGGTGGATTGTTAAGTGCCGCGGTAATCGTCGAATCATATAAAAAGGATTGCTCTTCCATCATCGTGAATTGATTGTTACCACCTACTCTAAGGTAAGGTGCTCTGACGCCAACAACAGTGTTATCAGTGATGTTTGCGAATTTCTCAACTATAACTCTCATACCAGCCATTTCTTTAGCCCATTCATCAACCGTTGCGTTCGACCAGAAACGCTCGTTATCATTATGTCTAGAAAATAAAAATCATTATTCATAAATATCGGCTTCATTGAATTACATGTAATACAATAATGTGCATCGTCGTTGGCTGGTAAAAAAAAGTGTTTTTGCTTACGAGATCGAGTGTACTGCAATTTCATGGCCTTTCCTGTGCATCTCTTGCACGGCCGAGTAATTAGTGTATTTATGAGAGACGAAGAAGGTGGCCTTGATGTCGCAACCATTAGGATTCTTGCGTTTTCCGTTGAAGATCTCTTTGTAGAGGCCGATATTGTTGTTGTTGATGGCATCGTCGAAGGTTATCGTAATCATCTGCGGCACGTCCTTGGACGGGAGATCTCCGGGTATACTTGTTCCATCTTCGGAACAGAAGCAATCCGGAAGTACGCAAACAGCAGGGTCACAAGGAGGGGCGCTGTTTGGGTCATTGTCCATATCTGTAATAAGAATGGAAAGTTTAATAACGTAGGATCATATTTTGATCAATTAGAAAGCAAAGTTGTTTGATAATACACTTTTCAAACTTACCACAAATATTTTCATCAGATCCATCTGTACAATCCTTTTCACCGTTACAGAACAGACCTCTCTCTATACAAGATTGATCGGCACAGGCCAAGTATCCATCTTGGCAGAGTGGTTCCTCGGTATAGAGAAGGGGTTTCGATTTCCTCTCCTTATTTTTAAGTTTGCAATTATTAACCGAATCCTTCCAATCGCATGTTTGTTTCTCGATATCGAAGTAGAGTCCAGCCGGGCATCTAATAGCTTGGAGACCGGAACTCGTACACTGAATAACGTCACGACAGTTGTCGCCCTCACCGGCTACCAACCTGAACCATTCTCCTGCCTCTTTTTCCTTGCAGATTTCGTTCTCGAAACTTTCTTCCTTCTTGTCTTCTTGTCTCTTAACTCGAGTAAAGCCCTCTAAATATAGAGGTATTGATAATGATTTGATCTTTTTATTACGAAAGTATTTCAAGGGTAATTCATTTACATAATTAAAAGAATTCTTTAGTGTGTTAAAGTGTTTAAATCGTAACCGAAAGCGAAGCGACCTTCCACGGTGAACGGTATCGCATTTTACGCGTTTTTGGTTCCACGAGTTCTCGAGAATATGGTTTGTACGGTAAATCGACAAACGGGGAAAGTTGTGCCCCCACTGCTGCTTTTTCATACGGCAGGGCACGGCAGTGACGTCACCCATCCGGGACCGACCGAGGCTTTCACGCTCTAATCTCTTATGCAATTTATCGTCTCGCACTAAACAGAATCCGCGTTAAGAGATATTTTCTCTTGCTTTCGAGTTCTCGATTGGTTCGAGCCGGGAAATCCGAACGGAGTGATCAGGAAAGTGATTGAACGCGTTTATCTCCATCAAAGAACAGGAAAATTCAAAGAGGGTACCGACTTTTATATATACATTTCCGCCATTTTGAATCAACGCGATAAGTAACGCGTTAATGTTTTCTCGAGATTCTTCGTTGAAATTGAAAGTATTTGAAAGTAATCATGAGAATTGTAAACTGGTTTAACGATTTACCCTAACTTTACTACTCATCGCTGTTTAAAGAAGCAAATTTATTCATCGATTGAGCAAACAGATGTTCATCATTTTAAAATCTGTTGATCTATTTTTAAAAAATCTATCTTATTTGATAACACAAATCACATTGATCGATGATTCAAACTCACCGGTATAAGTGATGACTCCCACCGCGAAGAACAGAATCAACGAGGACTTCATCCTCGATATCTAAAGCACACAGTTAATTTTTTTTCTTTTTTCCTTTCTACGAAAATCTTGTCCTTTTAATTTCACAAGCTATTATCACGTGACTCTTTGTTTCTCTTTCGTGTTACTAATATTTCTCGTAGTTCTTTGTCGTCCCTTTTTTGTCCGACACGATCACTTTTCGGAAGTGAAGCAATTGAGATTTGCAAGAAATGAAATAAATATTTGATTTGATTACAAAAATGAATATGGTTAGTTATGTAGATGATTTTGTAGGGGTATTTAAGGATCGTCGTTAGAGGCGCTCGCAGGCGCTCGAAAGGATCTAAGGTCGACGATACCAGCTGAAGATGATCGTATATCCGAGGGTTAGAGTCGATGGCCTTCAAGGACGCGGACCTTGAAGGTGTAGGTACCGTTCACGGACTGGCTGAGGCCCGCCACTCGTTGCGCCTTATATTGCTACCACCACTACAATCCTTTCTGGTCCCCTCTTTCTTTAGTGTCGCACACGTTTTCTGCTTGCCTGTCGACTCTTATCCAGGGACGTACGAATAACTTGGCTGATCCTTCTGCCTTCGTGATGGCCAAGAGTTATTACAACTATCGATTGCTTAAATATTACCATTTTCATTATAAATCTATCTATTATCAATGTTTACATTATAAAATGATTATTTCTAAAACATTGCATGATCAACCCATCGAATTATCAATTCGTTATTTGACTTGCCTGTTAACTCTTGAACTTCAAGGTTCGAGGTTTCGAGTCACCTGACGCGTGCTCGTTCATCGATCACGTTGAGAGTATCCTGGCCGCGAAACAAGTAAGAAAGAGTCCATGTGGCTTGGGGGAGAGAAAGAGATTAACGACGTTTATAAATTATGTAATTTTGATGTGGCACGTTCGTTGATCGAATTACATCTTATTGACGTAATGAGGATACCTAGTCTTATATTTCGAAGGTGGCCATTTCTTTTTTAAATGTCAAAGTTAAAGAGGAAGAGGTCTTACTACCATCTGGCAGTTTCGGACGAAGTAAACGACGTTAGCGTATGAAAACACGATTATTGCACCATCTTGTATGTCTTGCTGAGTCTTATGAGAGAATAGAGTAAACGAAAATGAGAGAGAAATAGAAGTGAACGCCAGCCAGATTCTTGCGAATCTTCAAACTTCTTTGCCAGAACAATGTTGACTCAGGATGGGTGTAACCTTATTTGAGTATTTGGTTTCAGAGTTTATCATACTGATTTATTAAAGACTCGTTTCTCTTATTTTATCGTGAAATTTTCAAAGTATATTTATTATTTCAAATCATTCGAAAGTTTTCTAGGGAAAATGTTTTTTTTTTATGACATAATAACAAACCCCGATTGTTTTCTAATTTATTTGAAAATATTGACTGGATGATTCGATTAGAATCCATTGAGAAACTCGTCCGTTGGAATTTACCCTTTGCTAGATATCGGCAAACAACTATGACTCGTGACTATGTCTGACATATTAGTCGTGTATTCCGAATACATAGTTCACGTATTCTACTATTAAATCGTATTGAAATTGAACACTCAGGGAAACGTTATTTTCGTATTGACGATCAACAGTTGTATTCCATTGGGTCGCTCTTTTATCAAGATCAAAGATTTATTTGTTATTGGAAGGGTAATAAATATTAATTCTCGCAGTAGAAGTTGGGTTACTTCCTTATAACGTAGTCGAAATTTTCTTATTGACATGATGCAGGTCATTGTGTTTTTGAAAGAAATTTTGATGAAATATTTGAATAAAAATTTAGTCAAAAAATTGCATTTTTCGAGTTTTTCGATTTTTCTTGTTGTTTTTAATTAAATTAAAGGAACATAAATGAATATTTAAGAAAATATTTAGCAAATAATTAGAAAGAATAATCTTTCGTAGAAATTATGCGGCCCTGCAGTGACATATGCCTCGCCAGTGAAAGGAAAAGAAGAAGAGGCAGTAGTAGCGGTAATATCAACGAAAGAGGAATGGCAATGGCGCCGTGCGCGTGCGAAGTCTCACAGAAGAGAAGCTTTCCCTGCCCGCGGCCAACAGCTCTCTCACGAGAAAATAAAATTCATCGATCGCGACCAATCGTGTACACTAGGCTCCATCTGTTGCCGATTTACTGATCACTGTGGTCATTTAACGTTAATTATCACCACCGATCATCCCTTCATTAAACAATCGAGGCTTTGATCCACAATGACCAACGCCATTTGCAAATACTTTTATGTCAATTTATTAGTAATTCATCGCGAAATATGAGCCGTTTATTTTGAAAGTGGCATAAGTCACTTTTTTTTTATTTTGTTTTTTTGTTTTTAAATGAAAAGATACCGTTCAATTGTAATTAGTGTTGCCATTGACTCGATTTTTTTAAGAAAGTGACTTATGCCACTTTCAAAATAAATCGTCTTCATTGAATTTGTTGGAAATAGAATAATACTTAAACAAATACAAGATACGTACACACACACAACACACCGGTTACCTATATAAAAATACGTTCATATATATAAACAGAATATGCTGTAAACAATATAACCAGTTTCTTTCGAATCGCTAGTTATATACAAAATAAAAATTAAATCACGTCGTGTTATACTTATTCGATTTTTCTTTAATTATATCAACATACAACCCTGCCAATCTCCTACAGAATTTGTTTTTTTTTCTTCTTTAACTCGAAAATATTTATTTAGAATGTATACAACAATTAATTTGTTCTGCTCTAGGTTTTGATTAATTAGTACGGAACAAATGAATTTACAATTTGACTTGACTTGCCTCACGGGCACAATTAAATTTTAACTTCATAGAAATTGTTTTCGTCGATAAAATTTTTCGCATGGGGAAAATGTGAAAAAATTTGTTTCAAAACTATTTTATCCTGTTAGGTCGATACACAAACCGTTATATTTCACTTATAACTGCTGCCCTCTATTAACACATATTTCGAACCATCCCACTTTCTTTCTTCATTTTTCTTTTTTCATTAATTTAATCTCGCGTCGATTAAAATCCTAAGTTTATTTCTTTTATTCTTCATCGACTTGTTTTGCTCTACAAAAAGGATCATAAAAGCTTAGCAGATTTTTTATTGGAATGAATTACGAGAAAGCGAGTTAATCGTTTGTCAATGTGACCGTGAAATATCGTTATTTTCTTATAAAAACATCTAGATATAAAAGGGAATTCTTAAACACGTGTTGCACGCCATCGTGAAAGCTCTTCTTCCGAGTATGCATCTGTTGCATCTGTGAAGACGCAAGCACGTTGTCCTTGATAAGTTCGCGGTCTGAAATCGATATTTAACTTACATCATATTTGATGTTTTATAAATCCAAGGCATATCGAAAACATCGATTATCCTTCATAGACATATTTTTTTTTTTTTATTCTTTTTAATCTTTTAAGATATATTAAATATCTCTCTTGAAGAGACGATGCAATATTTAAGTATATAAATATATATATATACGTGATTCCATTTCAATTGAACAAATGTCTTACAATACGAAATTATTAAACGATCGTAACAATTTACGTTTATTTCTCGAAGGTAACAGTAACTATCAGATGAAAGTGTAAAATCCAATAGCGATTGAAAGTACGATGTAATGGTAAGATACGATTGGAACGAGCCTGAAGAAATTTCTCGAGTGTTGATAAAATCACGATAAAGCAGAGTCGATGATGATAGTGACTATTGCTTCGAACGTTTATCGAACATCTACGTTCCATTAATGATTTTTCTCTATTCTCAAATCGATTAATGTGAATGTATCTACACGATTTTTCCTTTTCCCCTTTCCTAAAGTTATCAAGACCCCGATAAAAGCTCGAGTATTTATTTCTAATACCAAACTTTTATGAACCAATATATATATATATATACATTATTTTGCATAATATGATATTTAATATATATATATAAATTTTATCTAGATTGTATTCAAAGGTACCGTTGGTCTGGTCATCTTTTTCTCAAGGATCTGCGCATCCTTGTTTGAAATTCAATTTAATACAAATCGACTTAGGAAAAATTTACATTTTAATAAAGTAACATTACATTAATTATTCTAAACGTAGTACTTATTAGTAGTACGTTTAAGTATTAATGTTCACAAAGGCTATGTGTAAGATAAAATTAATCTTCGGTATGAATGGTTCGTAGTATGATAAAGGCATGCCAATATCTGTATGTATTTGATATTTGAAAATTTCACAGAGAGGAATTTTTATACATTTTTTTTTGTTTTTTCTTTTTTTTCGATTATCTTAGCAATTTTTAATCCTGATCAAATGAATTTTTATAAATATGAATAATAGAACGGAGAACACTCAAAGGATTAGTTCGATAAGACAATTACGAAGTTGTAAGTAGTAAATCCAATGGTTGCTTTTGTCAAAGGTACAAATGCGTAAGAGAGAAATTGATAAAGAGGGTAAGAAAAATATGATGATGACGCGAAGGGATAGAATAGGATAGTTTTCAGGTCGACGTAAAGCCAAGGCCGAACAAGGATACATTTCGACAATGTCCAGCCGAGTACTCGTCAGACTATATTCGCTTACTACTGCTGTCACAATGTGTAGGTATGTCAAAAGTGATGCCTGCAGTAAGGCGCAGAGAATATATTAGCAATAGCGAGAGAGAGAAATAGACTGCTAAAATAAAAAGGAAGGATGTTTTAGCAAAAAAAAAAAAATTGCATGACGATTAAAAAATGAAAAAGAAAAGACAATTCAAAAACATTAATTTTACTCATTATACAACAATAAAAAAAGGGACTATAATAATAGACAAAAAATATTGAATATATCAAAGATAATAATTAAAGAAAAGAATTATCGATAAGGATCAAATGTATTATTTAGAAACATTTATATTTGATTATCTTATTAATAAAACAATTAAACGAGCTATTATCAGTTGCCGAGAAAAGGAAGAGAGAAAACGTGTCTGGGGTAGGTATATCGATCAGAATAAAGGGGTTGGGGTGTGTATAGAGCGAGAGTGAGAGAAATAGAGAAGGGTGAGATGGGGGGGGGGAGGTGGAACGAAGATTGTCCTGCACGAGACTCCGATGGCCAAATGGGGCTCAGGGCCGTATCGGCAGGCTGCTACACCCTTTCTCTCCTGCTTCTACTATTCGACCTTGACCTAGGGAGTTCCTCTCGCGCCGGCGTCACGCCCTCTCGGCTCCACCCCTCTTTCCCTTTTTCTTCTTCTTCTGTTTCTTTTTCTTCTTCTTTTTTTTTTTTTTTAATCTTTCTCGAGCATTTGAATAGTCAACTTCGTCAATTTCATAATATTCATTTGGCTAGATTTAACAAATATTCTACAACAATTTTTCTTTTTTATTATCGTGGTTCGTTGTCACCTTTTTTTTCTTCACCGTTTTTGAATTCTCCGTTTTTCCCTTTCCTTCCCTTCCCTTCCCTACCTCGAGTTTTGGGTAAAACGGGTGAAAACAGGTTCGACCTCGACACTCGCCGGTGCCTCGAACGCGCACACGTCGTCGTCTACGCGTTTTCCTCCTCCTTCTCCTCTTTTTCATCATCATCCTCTACTACCACCACCACCACCATTACCACTACTACCACTACTACTACTACTAATATTACCAGCACCAAGTCGACACCGACCGGATTTGGTTGCAGTTGCTCTTCGAGCCGTGAGCAGGGCCGATATCTGCTCTAACTTACCTGGACATACAATAGTTTTGACATTTGAAAATTGCCGTTTGGGTTCCGTCCAAAAAGCATCCTTGCTGGAACGTGCCAATGTCGTCTGCTACCATGCGATTGGCGGAAGCATGCAGGTGGGTCATCTTCTTGCTTCCTCCAACTTATTCTTATCTTCATGTGCTGGATTCGTTCGTTTGTTTACCGCTCGAATCATAAAGGTAATCTTTTTTCATCGATTTGAAACCTCTTTAGCGGGGGGGATGGGGGGTCGGTGGGTGGTGGTGTCGGTGGTGGGATTTTACATACAATTTAATTAATTTTTATTCGTCCAATATCGTTTAAATACAAAGATGATCTTTTTTTTCTTGTTGATCGAAGCTTCAAAATTGAATTATTTTTTTTATACTTTTTAATAACGCAATTATACTTGCATTATTTTATTGATATTATTGCGAGAGTCCTTTCACGAAGATTTACTCTGCCGATAAATAGTCGTTTCGATTTGTAAACAAAAGGATCGCTCGTTCATCGGATTTGGAAGTTTTGTTTATTTCGTTAATACAATACTAATGCATTGCACGTATCAAGCTTCCTTAGTATATTTCAGTGAAATGAATAATTTCCCATGATAATTAAGTATGAATGGACACTGTTTACACGAGATATATCGTAAAATATTTAAATAAGATATTTATAGAAATCAATGCATAATTTATTGAATACCAAGTTTGATAATATAAACTTTTGTTCTTTTTATAGTATGTTAAGGTATAGAAAGTAGACATATATATACTTTGTAAGTAGTAAACAAACACGTGTAGAATAAGATTTTGTAATTTAAATATTTTATAATGGCGATGGAGATAGATATTTTTAAGTGAACCTTGTCGAATGCAAATTTGCGCTCATTTTTGTCGATTTGTCGAAGATAAAGAACGAAAGCTTGTTAATAGTATATATTTGTGTTTCTACGGGAAAGGCACCGTGCCAGAGAACCGATTCGCGTCTTTTTCTTCTCCTCATCGACCGGGCTGTGCCAAGGCCAAGCAAGAAGGTGAGATTCTTCTGTCACGGTCACGAACACCCTGACTCCTACGACTTATTGTTACGCTAATGCCGATCGTATACATTTTTTTTTTTCGTGAATAAAAATCATCCAAATTTACATTGCTAAGCGCATTTTCGTTACAAATAAAAAAAGAAACAAAAAAAAAAACGAAATGATTAATATTCGACTTCGATTTCTTTTACCATATTATTTTATTCGGAATTTCTATGCAAACGAAAAAAATTGTTCACTTAAATACCTACGCGATATTGATTTCAGGTATATCCATTTCTTATTTCATCCGTTTTGCCTCCTCTTTTTTTTTTTCTCTTTTTTTTTTTGTATAAGATCAGAGTCGACCTTTCCGCGCTCGTTGCATTAAAATCAGTGAACCATTAAAAGTTTCAGTGTTGGCTCGTCGTTGCTTATCATCGCGTTTTACCGTGAAATCGCAATTAATTTTTCCTTCTATCGAATACTGTGCGTTGTTGTTTTTATTATTATTATTATTATTATTATTATTATTAGCATGTATTATTATTCTCGTATGAAATTAATAATGCAAGCGTGACGTCTAATCGTGACGTTCGTGCGAGAAAAGGTTAACAAAGAGATTCGAGTGATACCCACTCAGCAAGATTATATCATTTTTTACGATATCATTTTCGATTAAATACTCGAAAAAGGTTTAAGTCTATTGGGATAATGTATATTATTTACTTCTTTGACAAATTATATTTTTAATCAAGTTTAGTAAAATAAATATAAATTAAAAAGTATGTGTGCGATGTGTGACTTCCACACACGATAGAAATGAAATTCGTATTATCATATGGAAAATAATCAAACAATTAATGTAGAAATAAATACATTAATATACCTTACATATTTAATTTACGGTTTACTAACAATAAATATCGATCCTCAAATATTTGTAATTAAAATGAAAATTAAAACAAACCCATAGAGATATACAAAAGTAACAATGTTATATGTATGATTATTCGTTTATATATAATTAAAGTAAGACTCTGTTAAAAATTTTAAATTACCGAGGGATCGGTACTAAACTTTTCCTTCGGATATTTTTTTGCACGATGAGGCCTGCAATATTTATAACGTTTTTCTATCCAATAAAATGCTAGACATTCTTTGAAACAATAATGAGCTTTTAAACAAGCTTCGCAAATACTTGTACTTATTTTATAATAATTTAAGTAAATAATTATTTTTGAAAACTGAATTTTTGTTTAAATTTAATTTTGTTTGATATATCATTCGAAAGAAAAGCTAAAACTTTTTACAAATAATTATCATAAAGAAAGAAAATTTCGATTGGAGTTATTATGAATCGTTTGATTATCATCTAATGTTAATTGAATTGAATTATGGACATAATAAATGTGTTCTTCCGAATTTAACGAAACAGGTGGTAATCTTAATCTTTTACATACGACACATTTCCTATTATATAACCGCAAGCTTTTATTGTTAATATTTAAATTGACCAGTGGATCACATTACTTTCAGATCACGGCATTGTTTGTACAAGCGTGATCGTAATAATTTAATTTTTAGGAAAACGATATTTATAGATCATGATTGACGAATTCTTACTATTATTTATAACCCGAGTAAAATAACTTTCGCGAAAAATAGTATACTAATGTATTACTATTGTTAATAATTAACTCATTTTTATAATAAATAGAAAGAGAATTTAGTGATATTTTTTTTTTTTTTTTACCAATTATCAGAGATTCGTATGCTTCTTTCCTTTTATTCTATTTACTTTTATTCCCACGTTCCGTCGAAGATAGAAGAGGAAGCTTAGAGTTTACAATACCTGTACCTGTTGACAATTGTGATGAAATTTCTTGCTGAATGAACGATAAGCCGATCAGTTGTTGAGGAATTCTCTTATTGATGAGCGATGAATTGATTATCAATCGAATGTATATTAACAGCTTCATAAATACTTTCTTGGCTTTGAAAATACATTATTATTATTATTATTTTTTAAACAAAGAATATTTTAAAAATTAGTGTTTGTGTGCAGATGTATACTTATTTATATCTAGACTTAATATACATTGATAGTAATATATAAATATATATATAATACAGGTAGCTTTTGACCCCCTACGCACAAGTATGCGCAGTTTGCTCAATTGGCATCGAGAATGTTACGAATTTTCGTTTGTATTTTGGAAGGGGAAATGATGCATCCACTTTAAAACGTTTTACTATAATTAACAAATGAAGTTACATTTAAATACACTTGAAAAATATAATAATAAATATAAATAAAATATTCTAATCATATTTCTTTATCATTTTGCTATCGTTTAGCAGAAGCCACTGAGAGAACTCGGCCGATTGTGCCTTGGTACAGAAGAACAAAGTAACGTCGTGACAGCTGAAATATGCACCGAGACACGAGGTGGACTTCCATTATTGCAGGTATGGCCAAGCGATTCACCAAGATACGAGGCGGATAGCCAGGAACAAGCATTTGTTTTCCCAGATGCTCAAGAAAACGTTAACGATAGTGGAATCGAATCCATCCAGGTATTCATCTGAATATTAATATATTATTTATTAATCCTTTATACGATAGTACATTTTATTTTAATTAATTTTTTGTTGAACGAACGCTACTCTGACACACAATGTAGAATTATTAAGAAGGAAACAAAAAATATTTATAAATTATTGTTGTTTAACTTTACCTATTCGTAATAATATATACGCGGTCTGTGGCTTTATTTTATTTTACAATTATATTTTAAATAATCTTACATAGTAAATATTCTGTTAATCTTCAAAACGTGTTACCTTTATTTTAATGACTGAAAATAAACATACAATCAGAAAGAGTTTAATTAACTCGTTATCTGATTTGTAATAACTGTTGTAACGAAATGGGATATAAGAATGCTAATAATAGTTCTTTCCTCGTTTTCTTGAAAACGATGGGTCATTGATCACTACTTTTAGGGTGCAATGTGTAGTCTTAATGGACACTTACTAATTTATAAAGTTTCACTAATATCAAAGTGGGACAATTGATATGAACTCCTTATTAATTCAACGTCATAATTATATTAACGAGATTAAATATATTAACGATTACGTATTCATATGTAAAGGCATCTCCATCACCGTGTAAAGCAGCTTGCAATAGTCCAGCAACGACACCACAGCAATCTCGTCGAGCTAGTCTCTTACATCCGGATCATGCGAGACTGCACTTGCATCATTTACATCATAATCACCATAACTTAGGATCAAAGAGTCCTCCAACTCAAGATAGAACTTCGATCGATGAAGACCCACCCTCGGTACCACCGAGCCCTTCTAGTACGACGACAAGTAGTCTCCGATCGATGCCGAGTTCAGCGATCGCATCGATGCATTCTCAAGACAGACGACGTAGTAGCAGGTAAATTTGTATCAAGAATTATACGTGATCGGACTAATTATTCTTATCTTCCTTTACATTTTCACGTGATAAGGTCTCTTGAGAATCAACAGGTCTTGGCTAGCTAGTTCTTTCTCTCTCTCTCTCTCTCTCTCTCTCTCTCTCATTCTCATACCAAGATCTTGCATGTTAACACTCAAGAAAATGCAATCTCCCAAAACAATTACGTGATTAAATAACAACCACTACCCATTGACGTTATTCGAAAGATTCGAAAAAAATTGCCGTGACCAAGTATCATTCTTAAAGTCATCATTGAGAGTACAGAACAAACATGCGGCCAAATTGGAGCATTTTTTTGTTTGCTTTTCATTTTTCGATATGAAAGTTAGAAAAGGAGTACAAGGCGTTAGCAATTAAGGTTTATCAGTAATTTAGATTACAAAGTGAAAGTCACGTTCTTATTTTGCATCGATCTAACTCGTTCGATATGAATTAAAATCATTTTAATCGGGCTTTATAGTATACATATATTTATATATAAATATATATTCGTATCGTTGACACGGAACGAGTACACGATAAAAATCTCGCATGAGTACAATGGTAACGTCCCACGACATACTACCTTGATTCTCTATTTGAAATCTAATATTTATATAAGTTTTGAGATATTCCATAGTCTCAGAAATAATCCTTCGAATGATATCTCAGGACGAGTGGTTCGTTTTCGATCTCGACGACCGTGTCAAGGAGCGACCCTGGCACAATATAAATATACCAATATATATATATATATAAATATGTATATCAATCTTGGTATATTGCACGCCTCGTGCAATGTAGATTCTCATTATGACGTATGTAATCTCTTGTCCAATATCGCGTTCATTCTAAAAATACTTGATTTTTTTTCTTTGAATAATAGATTACAAGATAAATTTCTTTTCATCTTTAATTACGACAACAAAGATCTTCTCCATCCTGAAATATTTCCGATTATAATTATAAAACTTTCCCAATGAGATACCTCTGGCTATTTTTTGAACAATGGACAAAGAGAGAGACAGAAAGATATTATATTATATATATATTATAAGGAATTGATTGAATATCGTAGATTAAAACTTTTATTTGTTGGTGATCTCGCGGTACTTTGAAATATATCAAACTCTTGAAGTTATTAACTAAAACACTCGACAATAGTATAGAAGTGATAGTGGTTGTTGTTAGTTGAATAATTCTTAACTAAAGTTGTCGGTTCTAAGTATTTTGGCAAAGATCCAATTTCTTTATTCTTCGTGTTGATCCTAACACGTTTTTACTAATGAAGCCTTCGACGTTAATTACTTTCATTGCTTTTATAAAGTCCAAGATACGAAATACTATATCTCTTTTACAAATTCAACAACGTATATTGATTAGATATTTGACCTTTTCTTATCTTCTTTCTAATCACGACCATCATCATCATTCTTCATTTATTTCTCATTTGTTTGATTAATCGGATATATCGGATAAAATGAAAAAATTTGACTAATAATATTTTTTTCCTATTTACAGATATAGCATGTTCGATGCTTTGGATTTGGAATATGCTCTTTTAAGGGCTGCTGCTAGGGGTTCGGTAGGACCCTATTCTCTTTCAGAATCCCTACATAAATTGACGTTCACTCAAAGTCTTGCTTTTCCTGCCTTGGCACGTGGACTGGCTTCGAAACAAAGCGTACCCACAAGAAGACCTCAACAACATGCTGAAAGTGGATTAAACGTCTTCGCAAAGGTTGTTACAGCTCTCGTGCTGATGTTGGTCAGCGTGTTGGTGTTCGGTGTTGTCTACAAATTCGCCAGAACGTGAGGATGGCTATTGGTACCCGATCGACATCCTGGTTCTAATCAGGACTTTAATCAACCGGGTGCCAACGAGCCTTATGACGATAATGCCTGATCAATTTTAATGTCAAAAGTCTGCCAAAAAAAAAAAACCTCCTCTCTTTTATCTTTTGCTTTTCTACTACTCTCTTTTTTCCTACTAATTCGAAAATTTAGCTTACATTGTCATAAAGATTTTAGGCAAAACAAATGATTGGCAACTTTTGACATGAATTCGAGCATTAATCGTATCCAAAAGGCCTTTTTAGGAAATTAAAGTGATACTTATCGGTATGACCGATTTTCAATCTTTCGTGCAAAACAACAAATTCTAGTCGATTATAGATAAGAGATTTGTGGATATAAATAATATCTTTCGTTAAGCAATACGCGAGATATTCTCTCGGAATTCAATCAAACTGTTGGCGAGTAGTAATAACAAATATTGTGAAAGATTTTAGGATCCTTGAAGAAAATGATTCGTGTCTTTGTTAAGGACAATGCGTATGCTCTAGTTTTTTTTTTGATTTTATCACGATTCGGACTTTTGGAGAAACGTTGACTTTTGGAACAATTACGTGATAATGATTATGAACAAATGATAAAAAAAGAACAATTTAAATAATCTTCGTTGTTTTGGAGTGCCTTGCTCGTGCATTTAAAATATGCACAAGTACAAGCAAAATATTATCACAATGAGGATACGATTCCAAAGGAAATAAAAAAAAAGAAAAAGAAATAAAATTCTTAAAGTGCTTTATAGTTTATACGATCACTCACTTCTCGATGACAATCGCACGAAAACGCGTAATAATACGTTTTCGTCATGCAAATTCTAAAACATATTATACGTCGATTTCGATATAAAATAAGGTCGTGTGCTTGCACGTTTCTAAATAAAAATGAAATCTTTTCTTTATTTTTTTTTTTGTTTTTTTTTTGTCTTTTCAATTATGAAAAATATAATATATTAAAACTGACAACAAAAAATTAAATCGATCCACGATAATCATTGATAATAATTAGCATCATAAAATCGATCTGATATAATATCACATGAAACTGATTATTTCTTTTATAAGAGATCAAAAATTAATTGACAGCGAACCCACATTATTGAGATACGATATGGTATATGCTATATGTACATATAATGATATACTATCATGAACGTACAGGGTGATGCGAAAGTATGTAAGCATTTTTAACCTGGAAAAAAAAAAAGTGGAAAAAAATTTAACGATAAGTTTTAAAACACAATCCGATAAATCATCGATATCACTATTTACACTATGACAAGAGTAAATTGAATTATATTATCGATTAAAAGCAAAAAAAAAAGAGAGAGAATGAACTTATTAAATAAGATATAATAAAATGAGAGAAAAATGTTCTTCAAAGAATACTGTCTTATATTTAGATCTTTCGCTTGTTATGATGAATCAATCAGCATCGTGTTAAATCTCGAATAAATTTTGATCGTAGATTATTGTAATGCATTTTGAAAACAAAAAAAAAAACTCACGAAGAAGAAGAAAGACTACGGTTTTATCAGGAAGAAATCGCATTATCGAGTACAACTCTTATAGAATCAATACATATGTTATATATCTTGTACATATAAGTATATGATATCATTATTATACAAAGATGTGTCATTATCAATAAGTATTTAACGCGACACAATGCTTTGTATAAAGCAACGAAACTTTTAAATATTTATGAAATTTTCGTAAAATCTCTTCTATCAATAGCGTCGCACTTCTCTCTTAATCTTGTGTCGATTTTTATCATTGTTATCATCGTGTGTGATAATATAATATAATAGAAATATTCTTTTTTTTTTAACATGATTTTAATGATACTTTTAATTTCTAACGTATTATTAAATACAATTAAGTATTTATTCAAATCACTTGTTTTTTTTTTGTGGTGTACTTTTAACAGGACTAATTTAAGAACAATAACGGAGGTGCATACGTTATCCGCGTCTTGTAAAACTCGCTTCTTGAAACTTATAAAAATTCTATTGCAAAGCTCTTGCTAAAAGACATATTTCAAATTCGAAAATTTTATGAGAGAATGAGGTCAATTTGGAGAACATTGAAATTAAATTTCATTGCACCCAATATCCTGCCTCGTTTATAATCGATTACGTCGTTGTTGCAATGACGTTGACTCGAGATATATATACATATATATATATATATATA